TTTTAAATTTGGATCGACCAATTGATTAAGCGACTAATCATTTCTACTCTTTTTCTTGCCCTACAAAATTGTCTGAATTTCTAAATTGCTATTATGTTTCAGTTGATTGTGATAACATTCAGACTGAAGTGGCCATAAATTGTATAAAAACAAGCTGAAAATTGACATATAGAAAGAAGTCGCTAACTCTTTTCTATCACATTTATAAAAGAAACCTTAATACAAGTGAGAACTGTGATTTATTTCATGAATTAAAGCGAGACATGTAACTTTTGAATGTAGAAAAAACACAATCACCATCTTTCAAATGAATAAGTACTAAATTCAAAATCAATAAAACTCACTCTTGTTCAATTCAACAAACTTAGGGGTTTGCTGCTACAGCCTCACTTCGTCTGGTATGACAGTAGCTTATGGTAGCCAATGTTAGCTTAGTTATCAAGCTTTAGAAACATATACTGCATGTAACTGACATTATTGAGACTTAATTACTTTTTCTACTGTTAAATTACATTTTATAAACATTTAATGTCTGTATCACAAAAATTAAGCAAGACTTAAACACCATACCATTATCGTCTATTGTGGCCACCCTGGCCGCTGCAAAAACGAAATTGTCTGGCTTTAATGTCAATAAACAGACGCAGTCACGCAGAGTGAGATGCACACACACTGAGAGTGGGAATGAATTCAATGTGACAGCACAGTCAAAAGCCTCTGAGGCAGTGACAGTAACACTGGTAGGCAGGTGGGAGTGGAGCCGTCTGCTCACCAGTCATTATGCAGGACTGACAGCTAACCTCTCAACACAAAGTTCCTCAAACACACATACACATACACACATGCACACACACCAATTCTGACAGTAGTCTCATTTGCATTCATTGATGTGAACTGCAGCACACCAAACAGCACAGAGCCACAACAAATGCATGTTCACACAGAAAAACAAAATCAACATGAGATTCTGTGTGTTTAAATACCCCCAACATTTTTTCCCCTGTGTGGTATACCACACAGCTTCAGAGACAGCCAGCGGCCACCTATCTGTCATCGCCTTCATCTCTGGGCCTCAAATAAAGACAATTCAATTTACTGGAAAAACACTGCCACTCTCCAAGTGGTTGTGTCAGGATGAAATGGGTTTAATTGTTGCCGGCTTCAGTTTTAGTATGCAACACACAATCAAGCTTTTGAAAGTGGGGTTGTCACTAAATGAAGTGACAAGGCATGGTGGGAGTTGCCTTTGTGTTGTTTGTTTCTATCTAAGAATGCAGATGCCACTGTGGAGTATTTGTTTGCTCATTTGTGTGGATGAACATTTGAAAAATGTAAGTCTGTGTGTGCTGGCCCGGAGGTTAATAGGAACCTCACATTTGTTGACTACATGAGGCAAGTAATATGGCCTGATGGCCACTGTGTGTGTGTGTGTATAGTAGCAGCAAGGTATTTATTTTCCTTATTCCTTGGTGTATTTAGTGAATTAAACCTCCTACTTTGTTTCTTACCTTTTCCCATTTATTTCCCCTTTATTCAGGTGAAGTTAGTGAATAGTAGTGAATCGGTAAAGATAAAAGATTTCACTCATCCTGTGAAATATCTCTAGCCTACTAACATCTTCTTGGTGGATTTGCATAAAACATTGCATAAGACATTTATGCTTCCCTGACAATGAATCGTAAGAACTTTGGGGTTCCCCTGACTTTTCCTCTTGCGACCAAATCCTGCAAAACTGATGACATTCCCATCAGCCTCAGCTGTACCTTAGTATGTTAGCATGCTAACATGCATGCAAGCATTACCACTGTGAGCATGTTAGCGAGCTGATGAAAACATTTAGTTCAAAGCACCGCTGTAGTCTTGTTGGAGGGATTGAGTGAGTCTGCTTTGCTACTTTTATCATAATTTTGAAGATGTGATGCTCATAAGGGGGCAAGCATACAGAAGTATATATTTACTGAAAGCAATCCTCATATCTCAATACAAAAGAAAAGGTTCCCTGATTCCTACAACTCAAAGTTTGCCTATCAAATGCACTTAGAAAAGAGCTTCTACTTCAAACTCTCCATGAGTAGGCTGAAATGTAACCGGATCCTATATGGTTCCATAAGTAGTTGCTGTGTGTGTGTTTCTGTGTGTCTGTGGACTAGAGTGAATCATATTGCTACGATGGTGTCTGTGGGGGTACCTGCTCTTATTGGCAACAGCTACCACTGCTTCAATGATGCTAAAAATAAAACAAACAGACAGGATGAGTCATGGCTCTGCTTATGCTTGTGTCTCTTATTAGGGAGACCCTGCTCTGAGTCAGTATCTCCCATTTTGACAACATGTTCTTCAAAGCACCAGATTGCATTGGAGTCAAACTTGTGTCGAGAAAATACACAACAAAAGGATGAAGGGATTTGTAGTCGTAATAACGAAGTAGGCCTATATACTCTGGTCAACTTTACTTTATAGGTACTCTTTGTCAATAGTTATTTTTTAACATGTTATACAGCTTATAGTGAAATGTTTGCCTAAAAAATATATCTTGTCTTTTCTGTTGAGCATGTGGAGACAAATGAGAATCTAAACTACATTTAATGCTTTGAAGACCTTTAAGACAAGAAATGTAAGACTATTTTGGCAAATCATGCATGAATGCATTCCACAGTCAACAGGTGGCACACAGAAAAAACTCTATTGACATATAATGTAAATAAAACTATTCTAGACATAAACTATTGAACTGAAATATAATGAAATGATTCAGTATTTCTCCACAAGAATTAGACCCTTGTGGAGGATTTGCAACATTAGACCAGTAAAATAACTGAACAGTGAAATGAATGTAAAAGATGAGGGAAAAAATGTAATGACTGAATAATTAAAAAAGATCATACACTTTTTTTAGTGGCTAGTCAAACATTTATTTGGGTTTGGGTTGGGGAATTTAGGATAATGAATATTTGTAAAATCCATCCAGGCTATGGCACTGGCTCAGTGATTCATTTGGTGGGCTAAATAGAGTTGGTTTAATATAAAATAATAATTTTCCCAACGCTATTAAAAAGTCTGATTTTGGAAAATTTGGATAAAAACAAAAACAAAATCAAGTTAAATTTAAGCCAATAAGGACTTTAGGTGCTCTGATATAATTACATTTAGTACATTTGAAATCTTTTTAAGGGATTGCAGACACCTTGCTTTTATACTCCGACAGATACTGATATTTTGAAACAGATACCAATATCGGCCAATGGCAATTTTTTAAAAACATAACCACATAACATAAATAAACAAATCACTTAAATTTGTCATGACCACACAAAAACAGTCAGAACAGAAACTGTCAACACAAAGAGCTGGGTGTGTTGGCTAAAAGGCATCAGGACCTGAACTTCAACTTTTTCTTGACCTTTGCACAAGCCTCCCCCAGAGACATAAAGTCTTAAACGATTCGAGCACCAGACTCGACAAAACACACACACTTTCCCTTGTATGTTCACACAAGCAATTATATTTCTTTTCCAACAGAAAAACAAGACAGAATTTCAAAGCAGAATCAAGAAAGATCTAAAGATCAACTGGGGTTTATCAAGCCTGCCATTAATTTTCCACTATCCACTTACTCTTCTTTCAAACATGTCTGTGAAAATTATTAATTTTTAAGGTTTATGGGGGTTTTGTTTTGGTTAGACACTTACATATACTTGATTAAATTAACTCCAATTTAAATGAGACTGAGATGGTAAATCTGAATTAGCAATCAGTCCTCAACATTTCTAATTGGCCTGAGAGGCAGTACTGGTGCCGGTTAACATAAACTACTCATCAAGGCCAAGCAGGACCTTATGAAGTTGTTAATGGTTCTGTTGGAGTCCATTTGAACTGATCCATCCATTGATCCATTTTACACAATGGTGTTGCTACTTTATGCTAGTTTGACATCCTGTTCACGATCACTTCAAGATTCACATTGATTGGGGCTAGGAAAAGATTCTGGTCATGGTTAAAAGAAAACTATATTGGTTGGAAACATTTAATTAACACTAGCAAGTCCGAGTCACACACTTGCTGGCCCATCCATCTACCCCAACCTCCTCCAAACAAGGTTTTGTGGTGCTAACATCACGCCATATTTGCCTTTGTTCCTGATGGAACACCGTCATAATGCAAATGGAAGCAAGACTCCTTGTCAGGTATATGTAAAACATATCGGTCACGGTCACTGCTGCAACGATTCGTTGCACACAGCTTTGTGATGGGCACACTTGAGGCCCATTGAATATTGAGGCTATCAGTGACCTCATCTTGGCTCAGACTCATGACAGTGTTTGGATATGCTCTCTCTCTCTTTTCGTCACATAAACACCCCCTCACACAGCAGCATTGTGGGTAGTGTCAGTCTGCTAGTGCTGATAGGCAGCATGCGGTTTCTCCTCAATACTAATCTGTCACACACGTGGTGCACAGCACTCATGGACAAACCCACAATATGTCTTTGGTAGGAAGTACGATTGCGGTGCAAAACCCTAGGACTTCCTGTCCCTCTGGGCTATCGGGATGTACAGACTCCGCTCACAGTGGAGGGATGTACACTCACACACACATGCACACTCCCCTAAAACAACAATGACTCAACAGCTTAGTAATCAACCACAAAGACTCACACTGCGCTGCAGCTGTACACTAGCAGCGTCAAAACAAAACAAATGAACTTTGGAGGGTGAGCAGGCAGCAGAGTTCTGCATCACTCTAACTGGAGCACCCATTGTGATCTACGTTGGCAAAGCACATTGCTGGACCACACCCAGTACGTCATGACTCATCAGTCCCCCTCTGTTGTCCACCCATGCCAACAGAAAAAAAGGGAAGGCAATAACAGGCAGGGGCAGAAAGGGAGGGAAGACCATGAGAAGAATCAACGAGGTGGATGAGGGGCAAAGAGGATGAGGAGTCACGCTGAGACACAAAGAGAGCAACAAACAGCTGAAAGCGTTGTGGATGGGACTCACCAGCTCGACCGAACCATAGTGTTTCCTGCTGAAGTCTCCACGCCTACAGCCCAAGTCCTCCGAGGCAGAGCTGCAACACAAACGCATGGTCAGACACATGGCCTGTCTGTCCTCCATTATACAACACAGACATATATAAACTGTGACATTACTCATACACAAGTGGCAGTTGCAGCATCTGTTTTTCTCCAGTCCTTTTTTAAAATCTCCCTTTGTCTTCTTGTTCATGCCCACTGTTCACCCTATGTTCTTTCTTTTTCTCTCTCCCGTTCCCTTTCTCTCTCTTTCCCTTCTCCTGTTGGTGTCGGTGTGGCTGGGCTGCCGGTGGCCAGGAGCAGCGGCCAACCCAGTTCTGATTGAGACGCGGGTCCTGATTGAATTAAGCCAGAGTGATAGATGGAGACTGGCTGGCGGGGCTGACTGCTGGTCAAATGGTCAAATGCACACACAGAACCACACACTCTCTAATACATAAAAAGAAACACACATACACACGTCAGATACAAGTAACAAAAAAGTAGCACAAATGTTTTTACATGTCCTCCTAGGATGAGAAACTGCTGGATTTTGTGGTTTTTGAAGAGGAGAAGTTTATGAGACCCTCAAAGCCACTCTAACGGAGACATACTATATATATATATATATATATATATATATATATATATATATATATATATATATATAGGGAACACAGATATTATTTGCAGTTAGTAGAAGTAGTTATTTGTGTCTGACTTTAGATAAAAATGACTTCCTCACTGTGCCTGGTCAAGAGAACATTTCACAAATACAGACTGTAAAGCTTAAACAATGGATTTTCAGTATTAGTGAGTTTAAGATTAGATTCAGATTGACTTACCTTTAGCTAGAGCTAGGCTAGCTATTTTCCCTGTGTCCATTCTTGTGCTAAGCAAAGCTAACCGGCTGCTGTCTGTAGCTTTACTTTTAGAGAGTAGAGTGATATATAACTCCAAACAAGAACATGAATAAGCATATTACACACACCTGAAGCAAATGTAGAACTCAGATGCAGCTCCTCTAAGTGAGAATAGCGGCTATCTCTAAATAAATACTTTTTGTATTGTAAGGACTGGAAAAGCCTCTACACTAAAACACAATATCAAATCTATTTACTATCTTAAGTTTTCTCAGTTTTTTAATGTTGCTGCAATTTTAAAAGTAATTTAACCATCCTGCACTGTGGCTCTAGCTAGAGATGGTCAATTGGTCAGTTCACCACTTTGGTCCAGACAGAAATATCTAAACAATTATCGGATGAATTGCCATGTAATGAAATTTAAGGTCCCTATAGTACAAATCCTAATGACTTTGGTGATCCCATGCCTGTAGGCTACTTTGTGTTTAGTGATATTTACTGTAGCAAATGTTAGCATGCTAACAGGCTAAATTAAGATCACTGTAAACATTACACCTGCTAAACATCAACATATTAACACCGTCACTGTGTGCATGTTGGCGTGCTGACACTGGCAGTTAGCTCAAGATGCATGAGCACAGCCTCATAGCTTGGCTATAGACTCTTCTAGAGTCTAACAAAAGAAGCAAAAAACAGTTAAATGCAATATGGGAGAAAAATCTTCTGATTAAATTCAAGCTTCTAGGGGCGCCCTGGGGGGTGAACTGGTAAAGCACCTATAATTAAGGCTGAGTCCTTGATTATGAGCATGGCAATGAGAGGGATATACAAAATATGGCAGCAAGTGGTAAACTGTGTGCGTGTGTCTGTGTTTGTGTGCACATGGTGGGGGGTATTTTGTATACCTTGTGTTTGCATATAGCTGCATGATTGCCTGAGTGGTGATATGACCTGCTTGCTTTTTGCTTCCTCTGTCTCTGTGGACCACATCCCCCTCACCTCTTATATTTCCCCACCTAACTCTTGCCTCTCTGGTCAGGTCTCTCTCTCTCTCTCTCTCTGTCTCTCTCTGTCTCTCTCTCTCTCTCTGTGTCTCTCTCTCTCTCTCTCTCTGTGTCGCTCTCTTTGTCTCTCTCTGTGTCTCTCTCTCTCTCTCACTGTTTCCTTACCCCCTCTCTTCATGCTTGCTTCCTACTAGCGATTGGGGTGGGGTCTGCTTGAGCACCATCCCAACATGTACCCCATCACAGCTTTTACTTTTATGTGCTCCCACTGTTTCTTCTCTGTATCCAAGTCACTCTTTCCTACCCTTCACCATTCCTCTGAGAGGGGGTCATGAAAACAATTGTACCTTTGAGGGGGATGATAAAGTGAAACCACCCCACCCACCTTCCTAATGAAAACCATTCCATCTTCTAGTGAAGTTCATCTCCTTCTGTAAAGGTTTGTGAGTTTAGGCTTCTTGTGATATTTAAAGGTACATATGGATGGACATTTTATGTTAGGACTGAACTAAAAGGCAAGAATGACAGAGTGGGAGATGAATAGGTAAAAAAAAAATGCATGTACCATCAATAACACCTCTCTAGTGGCTGTGGTTAAAGAGAGATTTTTTTATTTTATAACCAAGTTGGTTGGTTTGGCTTTTTTGGCTAGAGTAAATACATGCAGTCACTTGCCACATTTCATGCACACAAAGATAAAAACCACAATTTGCTGTATAGTGCCCAGAGGAAAAGTGTTGTTGCCAGATTGAGAATGCTTCCTTGTGTACTTGGGAAAATGTTCATTGCCCAATTTTAGCGTTCTTCGCTTTAAAACTGAGAGATATTTTAACACATGTGGGAGGTGTAGCCTGTGGTAAACTAAGAGCAGTTTTTGCACAAGGTGGTTTCTGTCAGACCAAAAAGCTGTGCTGACACCTATTAAAGAGGCTGAATGAGCCAAGAGAGTAAAGTGCCTTGAGTCTGATGAGGAAGATGTGCCTGTCAATGGAGCTCTGGGAGTGGCACGCAGTGCAGGTGACATAATCAGATTTCAAGTACAAGATGTACAAGGAATCCAAGAAACAAGAAAAGATTCTCTACAGTTCGTTCGTCTTGTTCTATTCACAATAAGCAAATTAAGGATCGAAACTGGTCCCAATCATGTTTTTGCTACAAATCTTTAATATTGAGTAAGTACTGAGTTTTGTTTATTTCCTCCAACATTATACATCTTACAGAGCACTAATTTTGCACATTTTGATGTCCATTTTATATATTTTCGTTTTTTCTTAGCTGAGCTAGATGCTCTATGGCCTGGCAATACCAGTCAGTTGGTCGGTCAACTGCTTTAGTCCAGACTGAAACATTGCAACAACTATTGAATAGATTGCAATGAAATTTGGTCCAAACATTTATGTTCCCCACAGGATAGATTGTAATAACTTTGGTGATACCTTAACTGTTCATTTAGTGCAATCATCAGGTCAAGTACTTTGTGTTTAGTTCCACTAAGCAAATGTTACCTTGCTAACACACAAACCTAAGATGGTGAACATGGTAAACATTATGCCTGCTAAACATCAGCATGTTAGCATTGTCAATGTAAGCATGTCAGCATGCTGGAGCTGACATTAAGATCAAAGCTGTGCCTAATGATCAGGCTCAGAGAGCTGCAATTTGGCTGTAGACTATTGTGACAATAAAAGAGTGATTGAGGTAACCTTACACGCCTCACATGTTGCCTAACATGTATTTGACATATAACAAATCTGCCATGACCACTTTCCCACATTCTAAGCTGCCCATGTGTTTGGACATCAAACTTGAACTCTGCACCACAACAGTTCAGATAGTCACCTTCCAGCAGCATAGTGGTTGTTAGCCAAATAAAAATGTCTTTGAAAGCCTGGACCAATGAGAAATAGCTCTAAAACAGAAACAGGTAAAATGGATATTCATTACTCAACTGCTGCCCTCAGTAATGCAGTATAGGAAAGGTTACAAATTGTGGTTTCTGTCACAAGACAATGGACAGTGGCCACTGAAAGGTTCTATGCATTACAGTGAAATGTGAGGAATATATCAAACTGCCACCCATCATCCTAAACCTCCTACTGCTGCTCAAGAAAAAGCCAATCCTTTTATCAGTTATGTTAAGTATTCTTAACATATTTTTAAGTTCTCTTTAAACTCTTAAATCACTCCATAAAGTGACTCTTTCTGAGATTTTGTTGGAAATAAAAGACAAATACACCAAAAGACCTTGATGGCAACAGGCATAGAAGAAACACCAAACACAAGACTGTTAATGAAATGCATTAAAAGGCCGATTAGCGGCTACAAAATTCAGAATTTATCAAACATTTCACTTTTCACTCTTGTCTCATATATACTGTCTATCCACATTTGACAAATCCTTCTGGTAATGTAAAGCCTTTACATGTCATTTGACTGTCTGCAGCTGTAGCAGTTCCTAGCAATTGCTGCAAAGATGTGACATTAAAACATCAAATGATAAAAGTAGGAAGTGTCTTTTTGCCCCTATGTGCAATAACAGGTTCTGTTTGGAAACTTTGGTAAATCATTTTGGGATTAAAACCATTTTTAAAATCCAATCTGAATTCATCTGATGCATGCTTGAATCGTTAATCGATTTGTAATAACAAAGTTACACAGATGTTGCGTGATGCACTACATGCACAGTACAGATACATACAAACCTGTCATACGCTTTCCTCTTAGAGTATAGAAATGTGTATGATGGGCTGTATACAACTAGAAATGGAAAGCTACAGCAAGCTGTGATCATCGTGAGGATGAGCTGGAGGAAGATGCAGATCCACAAAATGGAAAAAACCTATAACAAGTCATAACAGCGATGTGATAAGTCATTAGAGCACTTAATAGACATATCGGGACATCTTTCTCTCTTCTCTTCTACCTCTCCCTACAGTGCAGCATGGAAAGAAGCATGTGCTATTGCTGCACTGTGCCATACAAGCTTACTTTTTCTATATGATCTCTCTCTCTCTCTCTCTTTGTTAAAGTGTCACTGCAGCCACAGTCTCTCTGTTGATTTTAAGCTGGTAAGGAGCTGCAGTGGTGGCATTCACAGAGCCATCTAAGAGGCTGGAAATGAGCTAATACTGAGTAACCTTGGATCATGCCTGAAATCAAATGCACATTTTAAGCCAGATGTCTGCTTTC